CATCTTAAGAGGCTTCTATTATCAAAGGCCTACTATAGCACAGAAGAATTTTTCCAAGATGCTTTCTTGTGACTGTCTGAATATAATTTGTAGTTTTATTTAATGACTTCTATGTCTGTTGACTTTACGTTTGTGCAATTTTGATATTTTGTATTTTATATTTTAGAATGAACATGTTTTTGTATTTATGTTGATTTATGTTTATATTTATGTTGATTTTTAAAGTGACTTCATCTTTTGTTTTAATTACTGTTTAAATGATATTATTGTTTTAGTCTGACCTTGTATTGTATTTTTATTTTGATTATTTCAATCTTGGTACTCTATGGCCCTGGAATTATTTTTGTATAATGTTTTTTTTTTTCCCCTTTTACAGCTTTGTCAACGAGAATTTTGTTCTCAGACAATAAAGCATTTTTTGACTTTGACTTTGACTTTGTTTCCTCAATATTACTTCACATGGGTGGTTTTCTATAAGTAGGATTCCCTTCAATTCCTTGGATTCTTTTCTATTGTCGCAATTAATCTGAATTTTCTCAGGTTGTGGAAACACTGCAAGATATTGGTTTAGCGCAGGAACAATTTCCATATGATTGTCAGAGATGGTTAACTTCGTGAGCGAGCAGTTTTCGGGTTTTTCTCGAACAAGGATTGCTTCCTCACAGGCTGTATTGGCGTTGGTGACGCCAAAATGGCGTAGTTCATTTTATTTTCCATGGGTTCGTGCTTACTCGGCTCTTGATTGTTTAATAAACGTATGTGTTCAATTATCGTAGAGTGAAACCTCTCTACCATACCTTTTGATTCAGGGTGTTGGGAGCTTATAAAGTGGATGTGAACTTTATGTGTTTGTAGTAGTTCTTTTACTACGGAATTCTTCATTTCTGCACCATTGTCGAGATTATTTGGTCAGGAATGCAATAGTGACTGAAAAATGTTATCAGTTTATTAGATTTTTCTATCCCTTGAGCTGAATCAAGTTTATACATTTGTGCGTATTTCGAGAATGCATCTATGATGCTTAAAAATTTACAGTCTTCCAGGGATATGGTATCGATGTGTAGTATTTGGAAGGGCTTTGTAGCCGTAGGCGTTAGATTATAAGTTAATTTCAGCGGATGTCTTTCATATTTTGTCATTTGACAAACCTCGCACTCATTGATAAACGTTTGGATAGTTTTCTGTTGATTGGGCCAGTAGTAAATGTTTTTTATTCGCCTTAGCGATTCCTCAATGCCATACGGTGATTTGTTTTACCTTCGTGGTAGTTTTTTATGATTTCTAGAATTTCGTCTTCCTCTGTGACATCGATTAGTTTTTTTGTGCATTTTACCATTTGGATTTCAGAATTTTTGAAATATTTTTGTAAAGTTGTGCTAAATTTTTCGTAAATTGGGTCTTCGAAGTAGAGATGATATCTGATTTTTGGAATAATCATTTCTTTAATAAAATGCACTATTTCTTTTTCAGTGTTTTTATTTGAGAATTGTACAAGAATCCTTTCTTTTGTTTTATGTAGTTTTATTTTTGATGGTTTTGCTGGTGCATAGTTTACTCCGGAAATAAATATTTGATGATTTCCATGGTTAACGGGGCCTTCTAATATCGGAATGCCTATAATTGGGTTTTTTGAATCGGAATGTATTGTGGCACCACTATCTTCTACTGCTTTATTTACTCTGTCGATGCCTCCAGCCTCGGCGATGACAGAATAGTTATTCTCTGATTGTTCCACATCTGTTGAAGCCCTTGGGAGAGTTTTATTTATTTCTTCAACATATTGTTGCGGTTTGAAAATTGCGTTATCGAAATCTTCCTCCGGTATTGTTTCATTTACATGTAGCTCGATACGCGAAAGAGCGTCTACGTTTATGTCTGAATATTCTTTCAGGAGTTTCAAAATGGCTTGTTTTTCTTCTGAATTCATGTGTTCTGTCCTAATTTTTGAAATGTCAAATTTAAGTTTTTGTGTTTCGAAATTATTTAAGTTTTCAAAAGTTTTTGAACTAGTCTCGGAATTTGTGTCATACTCATTAAAATTTGTTACATAAAGTGGTTCAGACATATTGATAACTTTTTCATTTTCAGGTATAAGAATTTCCCCGTCTTTCACATTTTTAACATTTATTTTAATTACTTGTTCACAGTGAGGTTCAATTGTGACCAAATTTAAAGAATTATTTATGTTATGAAAATTCAGGGGTATTTCAATTTTAGGGGTTTTTATAATATTTTTCTGAAAATCCACGCTTGCTTTTAGTAATGCCAAGTTGTCTATGCCTAAGAGACAGTCAAAGTATTTATGAAAATCAAAAAGATAGAATTTAAATGGTTTTAGGTTGATTTCAAAAAGTTTAGAAAGAGAAATTTTTGTGTTAAAATTTTCCGTGGATGTGCCATGCGATGTTGAAATTTTGAAGGGGTCATATTTTATATGATTTCCAAAATACTTTTTTGCTACATTCGGATTAACAAAAGACCTTGTACTTCCGGTGTCAATTAAAACTTTTAAATTTAAATCTGTAAGAATTATGTAGGGTAGTTTACTATCTGAATTAGTGAGATTCATTAATTCAAAATAGGGTATGCTGTTTCCGAGGCTTCTATCTAAAAAAACTAAGGTTGATCGAAATATTGATCTTCTGAATCTGCAGGATATTCCACAGTAGGAATGGCATCAAATGTTTCTTGGGTGTTAATATATTGGTCATTATTATCATCGGAAATATCAGTTAATTCTGAAATGTTGTGTAACTCTTCAAATCTAAAATTTGGTGGTTTTTGGGAGTTGTTTGGATATGCGGATCTGGCGGTGAAAGTCGAAACTCCTGACATGGGCGTCATTTTTGGACTTCTGTGAGAATTGCAAGGTTTATTCACAAAATGTGATACCCCGGACATAGGTTCAGGAGAATTCTGATCTGAGCTTTTATGTCCAATGGCAGGTAGTCTTGAAGAATTCCTTTGGAAGTTATTGTAAAGATTTTGATTTGTTGATAGATTAATTTGAGGTTGTTGAGGGGTTCTTGATTTGTTAGATAGATTAATTTTGCAATTTTTATTTTGTAAATATGGCATTTGGTGAGATTTTTGCAGTGCAGTTTCAATTTGGAAATCGTTTGTAAGCATATTTAGGGCGCTATTCAAATCCGCAGGATTTTTAGTTCTCATTGAGGATCCTATTGGTTCTTTGAGACCACGTAATAAGACTCTTAGAGCCAAAAATCGACAATATTGAGCTAAAATATTTCTTTCTGGATCAACACAATGAGTAGTGATATAGGATATTTGCAAGTTTGAAATATGTTGTATTCTATTATAAAAGTCAAAAGCTATTTCATTACCCTGTTTCATTTCTGTCATTTCTATATTGAAGGTGTATATCGCGCTTATCAGCATAAGCAGCGAGAAGGGCCGTTCTTAAATCATTGAAGGTACTAAAGTAAGATGCTATGTTAATTGCAGCTTCCCCTTTGATTTTAGAAAGAATGCTAGACATCAAATATTCATTTTGAAAGTCTGTTGGATCGGCTGTATTATAGAATTGTGTAACCAATTTTTCACAAATAGACAGAAATCTGGGGAGAAGTTCAGTTTCTCCCTGAAACTCAGGAATCATGCCTAAATATTCTGCTTTAAGAGACATGTTTTATGAACTTTTTGTATTGAAAATGAGTATAGGTACAAATAAAAATATAAATGGTATTTAAAACAGATGGATGGGTGAGTCTGAATCAGAATTGCAAGAAATATCAACACTTGACAATTTTTTTTTTAATAACCTGACAAAATAAACCTCAAGATAACATGAAATACTACTTACATAAGAGCCAGTACTCTCCTCATAGAGACGGCCACGATGGAGTCTACAAATTCCAGCACAAATTCCAATCTGCTCTTGAAATTGTTCCGGTGGGAAGGTTATCTGGATCTACGGTTTCGTACGTATCTTCTTTGTGATCTACTCAACTCAACCACTTAGTATATACCCGGTGTATACCCGCGAAACCCGAAAACGCGAATTTCCGAAAAATTTGTTCGTTAAGCTCACAAATCGTTGAAACGAACCAGCTTTATTTTCCCTAAAGCTGTTGAACTTGCCCTAATCCGACTGCGCCAGTAATAATACGTAAACTCGCGAAAGGGTTTTTAAAACAATTTATTTTATGCGGTCGGTTGGCGTCGAGTTGAGAGGTGAATGGTATTACTATGCTTATATGGCACTAACGGCATATACCTTACATTAATAACCACATTACCTACAAGTTTAAATGATGTGCGCACGCAATTCCACGTCTCCGATTCTACACGACTGCAGCCATAGTTTTTGGATTGCTACGTATTTCCACCGGATATCTATGTATCTCCATCCCGTAGGACAGAAGATTTCCAAAATGACTACCCCCTCAGTTTAATCTTAACAAATTTGGGAAAAAACATCCTAACAACTCTATGCACCAAAATTAATCAAACGTTATATTTGATGATAGTTTTTAACATGCTTTCTGCTACCATAAAAGAATTTCTCATTGAACACCTAGGGGCCGTTTGACCATAACAAATATGGGAAAAAACGTTCTACCAATGCTATTTATGCACTAAGATTAAACATATATTTGATAATAGTTTTTAAAGGGTTTTCTGCTGCCATAAAAATATTCTTCATTTAGTCCCTAAGTCCCTAAGAGAAGTTTACTTTTAACAAATTTTTTGAAAAAATGTGCTACCAGCACTATTCATGCACCAAAAGTAATCAAACTTTTTCTTAAGGATAAATGGCCTCTAGGGACCCAATGGAAAATACTTTTATGGCAGCAGAAAGACCATGAAAAACTATGCCCAAATGTAAAGTTGCATCAATTTTCATCAATAATTAGGTTCGGCAGCACATTTTGTACCTTGGTCAGCAAATTATGCACGACCCTACACTGATATGTTGATACAAATCAAAATGCAAAAAAAAAATGAAGGTTGGGTGTATTTTTCATATTTATTTGTAGGAATTGAGTTTGGGCCTAGTCCGCTCGGATTACATGCTACACAATGGCCAAATTAAGCAAGTGGAATACAATACAATATCTGTTAGTTTATCAGGAGTTGGAAAAGCTGTCTCAATTTACAATAGGTATTTTAGCCACCACATTCCACCAAACCTTCATTAGTGTCCACTTAATTTACACTGGTTTTATTGTTTCAGATTTGTTCTAGAAGAACTTGGACACTATGACAAACTGCAAAATGTAAGCCAAATTTTCTTTTGGGTGTAACAAAAATTATTCAAATAATTTCAGTTGCCAGAAAACCATGCCCTAACTGGCATTACTATGGGACTACTTGAAGCATGGAAAATATACGGAGATGCAAACGCAGTGATTTTGGTTATAGTCGAGGATGTCACTTATAATATTTGCGATCAAAGATTCCACGAGTTTGAACTCAAACGTCTAAATCCTAGAGTGAAATTGATGAGGAGGACTTTGACTGAAATGTATCAAGAAGGAAGTCTCACTGAGGATAATCAACTTAGTGTGTAAGTAGTGATTTTGTTATAGATTTTCATTTGTATTTTAATTTGTGATTTGAAATTTCAGTGATGGTTTGATTGTGAGTGTTGTTTACTATCGCTCCGCCTATACTCCGGATCAAATACCGACAAAAAAAGAATGGGATGCTAGATTGATGATTGAAAAGTATAAGTCCAGACTCGATTTTTGATTTGTCAAAATAATATGAAACCCTTTCAAGGTCTCAAGCAATCAAATGCCCTTCAATCCAGTACCACTTGGCCGGTACCAAAAAGGTCCAACAGGCTTTAGCGAAACCGGAAGTTTTGGAAATGTTTCTTTCGGACCCTAAAAAAATCGACGCTGTCAGAGAGATATTCACTGGTTTGTATGGCTTGGATTTCGACGAGGCTGGTGATCAGGCTATTCAGATGGCTCTGGAAGATCCAGATAGGTAATTTTTATTACAAAGTATTTAATGTAACATTTCATTTATACATGGTTGGCAAAAATCCGGGTTTTTGGAAATTTCTATTGTGTTTTTGGATTTTTGCAGTTATTGTGATAGTTTTGTGCTTTTGTAGTAGAGTGGAGGAGAATGGATTAAAATATTCGCTCTAAAAATCGATTTACCTCCCACTTTCTTGTCACAAGCTGAATTATTTATTTATTTATTTATAAAAAAATACATACATTTGAAGTGGTAGAAAGTTTAAATTTAAAATAATCTAAAAAACTAACCTGAAACAATTCTCATGGCCCGCGTCTTGAATTTATCTTGAGATAAACTAAAAAAGTCAAGACCTTCATAGATGAACTTATTCACATTGGTATTGGTAGATATTCAATCAACAGGACTGAATAGTAAGTACCAAGTACAACAGTAAGGAATGTGCAGTAAAGATTTACTTCGTGTCCAATAACTTTGCGTGTGTAGATAAAAGCATCCAAGATATTCGTGACTTTTTATGTAGTAGTTAAGGATATTAAAAGCAAAATAGACATCAAAGTATTCCCTTTGCAAACAAGAGTAGTTAATTCTGAGTAAGTCATAGTCTGGTTAACGCTGAGAATCACACCACTCAGAGACAGTTTGTACCTGAATTTGTATCCAGTAAATTTGATAAATTTGTGTTGAAAACTCTCAAGCCTATTGATGTGGATCTGATAGTAAGGTGACCAAACTATGCAAGAAAATTCAAGAACGGATCTGACCAGTGATGTGTGAAGAATTTTGATGGGGCGTATACTTGTAAAGTCCCTAGTAGCTCTCTTAATAAACCCCAACATTCTATTAGCCCTGCCAATTACCACTAGTATCTAGATAGACACCAAGATCTTTGATGACAGAACCTTCAGACAAGCGAACATCACCTAAGCAATACTGAAAGGGAACCTTACAGGGGAGTCTACTTAATCTTATAAAACAACCCTTATCAATGTTGAGGAACATGTTATTAAGCTGACACCAATCATGAATAATGTTAAGATCGTTTTGCAGAATAAGTATGTCTTGAGCTGACGTCACCTGACGATACAACTTCAAGTCATCAGCGAAGAGTAAAAAAGGAGAGCAACGATCCTAAATCATTGATAAATAAGGTGAATAGAAGGGGGCCCAAGTGAGAGCCTTGGGGTACCCCAGAGGATGCATGGAAAAGAGAAGAAAGATAGCCATCGATCTTGACTTGTTGCATTCTGTTAATAAGGTAAGATTTCATCCATGAAAGTAAAAGTCCAGAAAAGCCATGACTTGAGAGCTTTGAAAGAAGGATGTTATGGTTTACCTTATCAAAGGCTTTACTGAAGTCAGTATAATATTGCATGAGTTTCTACATCGTTATCAAATGATGAATTTATAAAAGTAGTAAAGAGAAACAGGTTCATATCAACAGATCTACTGGCTGTAAACCCATGCTATTGACTGATCACAATCTGATGAAATATTTTTGAAAAAATATTTTCAACGCACTGCTCAAATAATTCAGGAATTGCAGACAGGATGCTGATAGGTTTGTAGTTTGTTACATCATTCTTGCTGCCTGACTTGTGAATAGTACAAACCTAAGAGAACTTCCACATTTCCAAAATTCCAGTGTTTAAGGATGTATTAAAAATAATAAATAGAGGAGATACAAAGTGTTAGAACAAGATTTTAGTACTTTGTTAGGAATACCATCAGGTCCTGCAGACTTGTTGATGTCCACTCGCTTCAAAGCCCTCTCAATATCGGTTGGGTCTATGACAATGCTTGAAATATTTTCAAATCGATCAGCAGAAATTCTGACGTTGGAATTTTGCTAGGGGTTGTAGACAGAGGAATATCGTTTTAAATACTTTATATAATATGTATACATATACTGAACCTACATATCAAAATATAAATAAATAACAAAAATATCTGATTATTATTTTTTTTTAAATAATTAGAACTTTTTGATAACTCCATATTTTAATTCAAAACTGATTATAATTTCATCAGCCTAGAAAGCAAATTCAATGGATCCGATTACCAATAAAATAATTAAATTACGTACGTACTTATATTTCTTATAAGAATTGTCTGTTCTGAGAGGAGTATAAAATATATAATAATATTTCCATATATAAATACGGGCAATTCATAATCGGTGGACACTTTATAGAAATTTTTACTGTAGGTACTAAAATTCTTTTCAGATTTGTCCTGAAACCTCAAAGAGAAGGAGGCGGAAATAACATATACGGAACCGACATAAGAGAGGCAATTTCGAAAATGAAAAACACCAAAGAGCGTACCGCCTGGATACTCATGGAAAGGATTATGCCTCCAGTTAGTACGGGCTACATAATTAGGCCGGGCGGATCGAAATTGCCACAGCTTTCCGAAATGGTATCGGAGTTGGGGATATTTGGAGTTGTGATTGGGTATTTGGCACAGATTTGTGATTTTAACTTTTTTGTTATTCATTATTTTTTTAGAGACTCACAAAAGATTATGGTTAATCGTCAGGTGGGTCACATGCTTCGGACTAAAATATCTACAGCTGATGAAGGAGGAGTTGCTGCTGGATTCGGAGCCCTAGATAGCCCTTATTTAATTGATGTCGAATGATTTTATATTGAATTTTGGTGCAATAAACGAGCACATATTAAAATGTATTTATTTAGATAAAGTAACTACAACAGAAATCATTAAATTAAATAAGTTTAATGATTTAGCAGGAATCGAACACGCCTTTGGCTCTCATTTCCTCGAATTCTTTATCAATGTCATACTGCCTAAAAAATAAATATTCGTGAAGTTCTACTTGGATTGCCTAAGGCAATCATACTCACTCATAAAACTCTCTGTATATTCTTCGTCTTCTGTTGGAATTGAAAAAATACATGGCTGAACCTCCAAGGAATGCATTAATCAGAGCAGTGATTACAAAAAATTTTCCCCTTTTCACGGAATGGCCGTGAAGTTGGGGTTTAGGTATTCTCATCATTTTAACAATTTTTCGCAGGATTAAATATGACAATTTTTTTATGACATTACATTGAATGTCAATAATCTGTTACAGGTATACCATTCCATGGTAATTAATTGTTTTCCTATATGAGCATAAAAATTGCGGATTTTTTTCTTCAGGATTCATCTAATATAGTCACGTTGTATAAAAAATATACAGTTTTACTGGAAAGTACCGCCCATGAATCATAATCATAATAACAATTTGTTTTTGTTAGTATTTATTTAATAAAAAGCTGTTAAAAGGATTACTAAATTTCCTCTTTTGGAATGATATTTATCCGCAGAGAATTTGTACATTATCGTGAATGAAGGTATATCCCCTTAATGTTGCAAAAATATTTGCTAATAATTATTAATAATCATCTACGCGTTTGTTCATATTCAATGTTACTGCGGAAACTATCTAGTAATCATAATTGTTGCTATACAGAAAAATGTGGAAGAGTGCAATAATTTTAATATTACCTGTGGTAAGATGAACACAATTAGTATCATAATATAATCGGTTTAATTAATAAATAAATAACATTTCGCATAATTGAAACGTTTGTTATTGTTTGTAGGCTTTCATAGTTCACGGTCAGGACTATGGTAAGTATAAATTCCAAGTGAATTTGTTAGTTTTATTCTAGTAAACTATAGTACAAAATTTCCTTAGGATTTTAATGGATTATTTCAAAAACTAATTTATTTTATATTAATTCCTTATCTTAGGCAATTTGGATAATCTTGGTGAAAGAATTTCTGCTCAAGTGAGGCACCAGCTGGCCCCTTTGGACGGACTAGGAGAGCGAATCAATGCTCAAGTTCAAAATGATTTAAGACCCATGCAGGTTATTTAAATCAAAATAAGTTTAAATTTAAATATTTGAACTAAATCTTCTTCAGGTTAATCTGCAAAACAGACTAAGGGATCTGGAGGGCCTTGGAGGTGAAAGAATTTCTAGTCAAGTCAGGCACCAACTGGCCCCTTTGGACGGACTGGGAGAGCGAATCAATGCTCAAGTTCAAAATGATTTAAGACCCATGCAGGTTATTTAAATCAAAATAAGCTTAGTTTGAAATCTTTGAACTAAATCTTCTCCAGGTAAATCTTCAAAACAGACTAAGCGATTTGGAGGGCCTTGGAGATCGAATAAGCCAAAAAGTGCACCAAAACTTAGAACCAGTAAGAGCTATAGAGTTAAATTTCAAAATGAAAGATGGAGTTGGAGGTAGCACTATAGCAACACATAGTCCTGGAGGTAATAAATAAAAAGCAACAAGTTTTTTTTAAATAAATTAACTTCTTTAGGTCGCCAATTTGTTATTAAAAATCACAGAACCTATACTTGCGCTTCGCCAATCGACCTTACAACAGGCCAATGTAGTAATTTAATCTCATTTAAAATAACCCTCTCTAGCCCAAAATCTGATTGGTGCTACATCCAAAGCTACAGCATCATCAACAATCAAGTCTGCTTGAGCACAGGAAGTGTATCAATTCAAGCATTCAACAACCAAGTGAATTGCAAAAGTTTTTACGATGAACCCTTGTTGAAAATTGATTTGGAAGATTATAAGAGGTTGTGTGCCGGTGTCAGAGAAAGCACCGAGTATAGGTATATTCCGGATTTAAATGATGATAGGCATGTGGAGATTCCTAATGAGAACAGGTACGTGAAATGTGAGAATCGGCAAAAGGATTTGTGCGTTTTTCGCGAGAGGAATGACTTGTTGGATAGTGCAATGAGTTCCGGTCCAGGTGGAGTTTTTATACAAAGTCGTGTTAATTATTAGAATTATGTTGTAGTAAAAATATATTATTTTTTGAAGCTTGTAGTTTTATTGAGCTCTATAAGCTACTCAAATTCAGTTTTCTAGGTATTGAGCTCAAGAAATAGTTCCACTACTTATTAAGAGGAAAACATATCAGGGTGAAATAGTTTTTATACTAAGAAGAGCTAGGGAGACCAGGAAGTAAATTTTTTGCTATTCATAAGTATTCAACTAGTAGTCAAATATTACCGTTGTTTTACTCACAAAACCTACTACGGCCAAGTCACCTTGCCTGTAATCTATAGTGAGACTGCTATAGAGTAGTAGGGAATATAAAGCTTCAGGAATTTCCTGGCCTTTTCATGGTCATGGTTTGATTTTTGAAGGTACACGCACATCTGAATGTGTCAGGTCAACAAAAATCTCAATTTTCCGTTTAGAAAATGTTGGAAATACGTCACAATCTAAATATGTATACTACTGTTCTTTGAACGTCTGGTCCCAACAGATTACCATTTCTCACAGCAGTAAAGTTCTGATGATCCTGGTCTGCCAAACTGAATTTTTCAATTGTACCTATCCATTAATATCAGTAAAATTACTGTGACGTTGTGGAGGTGGACCTCCACTTTCAAGAATCATGTTCCTCCTTTTGTTTTAATTTTTTCATTTGTAATGTTCCATGCACACAAACTAGATTCAATTTTCCACCGAAAGTTTTCAAAACTACATAGTTGGAACACACTGTACCTATATGGACAAAAAATGAGGGTTTATGTCTATACAACTTCCATTTCACCAAGTTTATCAACTATACCTATACACTGAAATATTTAGCAAGATGTTCCCGTAGGTATATTCATTCTTTGTAGCCTAAAGTTGCTTCAACAAGGTTGCTTTAGACTGATAAATAGATTCTAACTGAATCTTCGAAGCATTTTCCTTCAGCAACTCTAACAAAGCAACTTCCTGTTATCATTTTCTTTGTGCCATATCTCCTCAATTCTTCAGCGTTTTCTAATTTGTTCTCACGCATTTTAATTACATTCTTCATTCACATAACAATGTTCCTTCTTCTCCAACAACAAAAAGCTTCCATCTGCATTTTCCAGTTTTTTTTACTCATACTCAAAAAAATCGATTTTCGACGCGTTCATGCTACAAGATTTGCTTTGTGAAAAATTTGGTAACTCTATATCATATCGTATAAGTTGCTCGCGCTCTGCACGCATAACCTATTGTCAACAAGCAAAGCTACTTAGTGAAATATGACATGTATATGATTGACCAACTTACTGATTGTTGACAAGGAATCGTTCGAGATCGAGTGATCGTGGGTCGTGGTAGTGGGAGGTGGAGCAGTAGTGATAAGATGACAAGTCAAGTCACTAGTGAAGTGTAAAGTGAAGGGCGAATTTATTTATTCATCAATGGATCCATCTGAGTCAGCGATAAACGAATATAAATAGTGGTCGGCAACACACGGATAGGCAAACTTAAATCAGCGCAATTTCCTCTTTTGGGAAAGCTCCTCTGGCCTCAAGTCTCTATCCAGCGCAATTACCTCTTTTGGGAAAGCTCCTATGGGTGTCTTCAGTCTCTCGTGTCGTCCAGTGCAATTACCCCTTTTGGGAAAGCCCCTCTGACGAATCGCACCTAACGTAGCTTTGTGTTTTGCAGGCCGCTCCCATTGTACCTTTATAGAATTTTAACTTTACTTACTCTACAATATAGCTTAACACGTTCACTGTCCTATGACCCATGTCTTATGTTTTTTGCAAGTGCTGTGCCCCATATTTGGCTCACGTTTGGATTTTATTTTACATTAGGTTTTAAGCCGGACTGTCGATGAATCTATTCGTTATCTACAGGGAACTCTGTAGTATAGAAGGCAACTATGCAAAGTCAAAGTACAAACTTGACCCATATTTGGGGCATGGACTTGGGCAATAAAGCATTGACAACTTAGGTAATGGCTCACAAATCCACCAAATGGACCCCCTTCAACGTTGGAAGAAGTTAAAGAAATGAATGAATGAAGACCCGCCTCAATCGCAAAGGGCGTACGATACTCGATCGCCCCAACAAAGCAGTGGAGATCACGTGCTACTATTGTGGGAAAAAGGGACATAAGGCAGCCATCTGATACAGTAGACAACAGACAGTCCAGCGAAAGGGACCAGCCCCGGCCCAAAACAATGGAAAGGGAGAATGTGCTATAACTGCGGAAAACCAGGACGCTTGGCATCGGTGTGTAGAAGCCAGCACCACAACGAAAGTTACTATGAAATACCTAGAACTTATAGAAACACACCAGTCTGTTATAACTGTGGAAAACCAGGTCACTTTGCAACAACTTGCATGAATCAACGACAGCACCGAAACACGAGAGGATGGCGAAAGTAAAGCGCCCCTGCCATCCTAGCACTAAGGGATAATAATAAAATAGGAATCATTCACATCACTATCAGAATCAATAATGATAATAATAAATAGATACTGGAGCCCAAAATAACGTCATGCAAAGAAATTTGGCAACAGAAAAGATTCAAACAGACGACAATAATCACTTGATCACCGCCGGAAGTCATCGGATACCAGTCATAGGAGAAGTAACATTGCCAATGGAAGTTCGGAAAGCACGGTGTGGACAGGCGCCGATAAAGCAAAAGAAATTTCAGCATCCATACAACCAATAATCCTAGGTTTGGATATTTCTAACAAAAAATAAGGCTATTATAGATCTACGACATAAGCTGCTTATACTGGATAATGTATACAAGATACCCCTACACCAAGACAGATCACAAGGAAAAAATCAGTCTGTCCAGCCTCATTCATTACAACCACCCAACCGGTAAGCAAACACAAGCAGGACGAAAAAGATGAAAAGAATTTGACAAATTTCTCAGAGCCCATTCACAGATAAAAAAGGAAGAAGTGAACAGCTTCCCAAAAGAAGAAATCAGACATAGAAACCAGCTGCAAAGCAATAATGCAACCATGGTATTCGGGGTAACCCGAAACTACAAAACAAAGGAAGCTGTCTACAAATCCTATAGATACATGCTCCCAAGGAGAAAAGCAGAGGGCACAGTCGGACAATTATCAGTAATAAACCACGAAAGTAACTCAACAGTGTTCCTTTTTGTAAGAGAGACAATAATGCAGACAAAACCCACAAACATGTGCAAATATTTGATAGCACTGAGAGAAAACATGAAAGAGCAATCTTTGAAAAAAACTGGTATTTTCTATAGACAAGGATGGGGACTGGAAACAGAATGGGAAATATTCAAACAGATGCTATACATTGTTTTCACGGGAGTCGAAGTCAGCATCCAGAGAGTTAAACCAGACTTCCGGAAAATAGAGTCAAAAAGTGAAGATCAAATTAAGCCTCTAATGCAAAAAGTCACGGACACACAAGAAAAAGTACCTACATAAGTAAAATGGAAGCCAAAAAGGACTACACGATAACCCAGAATTATGAGGTAAAGACAATAGAATTAGAAATCATGGACAACATCGTCAACCTAAACGAGACAGTGGGCTACAAATGTAAATATATAATCTTAATTGGCTGGCAAAAAATCTACTGACACTGAAAACACACATTTATGCAGATGGGAAGAACCTCACTATAAAAGTACAATCCAACACAAGATATGCAATAGCTTTATACGCAGGAACCACGATAGGATTTTTAGAGGAACCGGAATACGAAATACCCGCCTCCTATCACCTAGTAACACAGGAGGAAATCGTGGAACGGGAACAGACCGAAGCAGTAGGTAACACTAGATCACATAACCACTAGATGACCACAGGCTGGACAACATCACAAACGGCGAAATTAAATTGGCACTAGAACAACTACTACTGGGGTATAATCAGACGACTTCCCAAGCAAAAAAAAAAGGTTTTGCGTGAGAGGAAGTTACCCAATTACACGCAGGTTATATGGATTATATGATGAAACTTTGGCACCCTCCGGAGGCTAAATTATCAACCGCCCGAGGTTCGGCCAATGACGACTTTTAATCAGAGTTTAAAAAACTATAACATTTCCAAATTTCAGAAAAATCTGTCGGAGATCCATTTTCCATAAGAGAAGTGCCTCTACCTTTGTATTAATATCTCGAACACTGAAAGGTTTATCAAAAATTGTCAAGAGATTCACAAACTGTGCTAGTCTCTGTAGAACTCCAAATATTGAAAAATTTACACTTAGGTACCTATGCCATTTCGGCTAACTTTTTTTGTTAATATTTTATATACATACACAGCTCTTTTGACGGATATGGACGCGAAATGCAAGCCGTTGTCTAGTATTCCAATAGACGGGACGGAGTTTTTGTAATAGATGTAGGCATATACATACTTCACAAAGTCACCTATGCACAGATTTTTGAGCAATATGAAAAGTTCATCCAGTTTCATTATGGTTCAAATTGTACAGTGGTTTTTGATGGGTATGATGGTTTACCTAGTAGGTACTTAATCTTTGGAACAAATGCGGAAAACTAATAAATTATCTTGTGCTGATATTGTGATATCTGACTCAGTAGTTGCAACAGTAAATCAAGAATTTTTTTCAGTAACTTATTTAACAATAAAAAAATGTTTATTAAACTGTTAATAGAGAGCCTTTTGTCATCTAACCTAAGTGTAAAATAAGCAGAAGCAGATGCAGATGTTTTAATTGTCCAAACAGCTTTAAATTTGAGGGAAAAGGAGACTTCTGACAGTTGTGGGCCAAGACACGGACTTCATGGTATTACTGCTCCATTTTGTTAAAGATAACAACGTTTTTATGTTACGGCCCGGAAATCAAAGTCAAGCAATCAAAATTACCAAAATTTTACTTTTACAAGAAGCTTTAGGGCCAGTAGTAAGTAAAATTTCATTTATCCATGCAATTGGCGGTTGTGATACCACACCTGCAATGTATAAACAAGGAAAATTAAAGCCTATTAAAGTTCTAGAAGGCAATAAAACTAGTCACTCAATAATTTCTGTTTTCCAGAATGTGAAAGCAGATAAGGAAGAAATTAAAATTGGCGAAGAATTTCTTTTACTTGTATATGGCAAAACTAAAATATCTAAAGACGCTTAATGACTTAAGATTTCATAAATATAGCAGCATTATCGCCGGTCAAAATTTAAAATCAAACTTTGAACTTGCGGATACAGGTCAACTGCGCGCGGTACCTGCTACCGATATCTTCGCGCAATGCAAATTAGGTTCGGCGCTTCAGCCGATCCTAAACGAAGGCATTAGGACCGGGGCAACATTTTGGTGAATTTAGCCACACGCGGAATATCGTTCAGCATCCTCCTAAGCTCTGTCTGTCTGCTCCCCATACTCATACAAAAATGGTTAGGAAATAATCTTTATCCTCTGGACTTTGATTAAAAATGAAAGGTGCGGCGGGCTATAAGAACTTTTCTTGTATCGAACATTTGAGCTGATCTGAAATTTTTGAAAGAACCCAGTCCGTGTCGAGTAGGACTCAGACCTATTTTATATCCAGTTCTCTTGAACATTTTTCAAATTCCTATTTTTTTCCAAGATATAAAAAGCAAGCTAGGAAAAAATGCGAAAAATCAAGATGGCGGACCAGATTTGGGGATGATCCACCAATCACAGCAATGGGGACTTTTAGTAGGTATGCTAATAGGGAACCTAAAAACTATCGAATAATGGTGGTGGCAGCTTTAAGCTAATTTGTTTACCCTTGACCCCTAACTGGCTCTGGACTATTATGCTAACTTTCGCACTGAACCCATACAACCTGCGGAGGCAGAGGGTTGACAAAAACCCGGTTTTTTTTTCCAAAAATGACACTGAGCGTTGCACTGAGACAGTTTTTGCCTTACACCTTCGTTAATTTCTCGTCGATTTCAATGCAATTAGGCACTAATTGTAGCGAATTAAATTCTCTACAAACCTATTAATCTAGATTTTAATTTAGTTTCAACAGTTTCGCAATTGAGAAGCTTCAAAATTGAATATATCGAACATTGAAAATTCTCCAAAAATAACATTGTGACAGTTTTTGCCTCATGGAGGAATGAGTCAATAGTAAAAATCAAAAGAAACTTTTACTTTTGTAACTAAGAATTGTTTGATTAATACCTTTCGGTTGACTATTTTTCCTTAGGATTTTCATCTTGTTTAATATAGGTAGGTAAGAAAAATGTGATTAATCTTAAATTTTGGATCGATATTTTTGGCACTATGGTAGGAATGAGTTCTGTATGAGTCGGGTTTTGACAAAAAAACCCAAAGCCCACTGTGTTTTTGTCAATATTGAAGGTAAGTTTTTGTATCAAAGTCCCACTGGGTTTGGATCTGGGCTTTCTTTCTGGGAATCAATATTAGTGAATAATGGCAATCAAGACCCTTGAGAGAAAAAAAACTTCTGAAACTGAGTTTTGAATTTTCCACACATTTGGTTCAAGTAGTAACACTCGGACACCCATAATTAAAAAGATCGGATAAGAAGTACCTACCTATTGATTACTTGAACATTGAATTAATCTAAACATTTTATCGTTCTCCTCTTATAATTAAAGTACCTAACCGAACACGTTTTTCAGTATTTTTACTACCTGTGCAAAAAACCAGGTGTATTAAAATTGCACATTAAAGCTGTGATTACAGTGTTCAAGGATGTAGGGGCAAATAGTGCAAAATTGACCTACCTTAGCTACCAACATAATTTAATCATAAATAATAAAATCCAAAACACCCTAGGTATATAGCATATTCAAATGAATGATTCCTGCATATGTTTGATACGATATCAATTTTATTTCCGGAAAGTTTATATCATTAAGTTTTTGAACTTGTTGATTTAAAAATATTCCATCTTTGCGATTAAACCAGACAAAACAATCCAATCAACCAGTTTATTCCAGAAAATATCGAATGCACTTCACATTGACTTTTGAAAGGTCAACGATAACAATAATATATTTTCTTTTCGGTTCAATTTGAATCTAATCGTAATTGAGCATCGAATATAGAACTTGTTATAAATAAATAATTATTACAGGGATAAACTAGTAGAACATTGAAGTAACTAAACATAATATTTTATGTACTATATCCTATTTAAAAATGCCAACTACACATCCCACATCAGTCGACATTCCCCTAACAATAAAGGAAATCAGAGTAGGCCAATTAGTTATACCCATAAGCTCATGCATGGCCTATGGCTACATAAAAAGTAAGGCCAGGAACCTGATGGCTTCTTGTAAGCCTAAACCTAAAACTGAGCACACGCGTAGCCTAAATTGAAAGAACATATTGACGGTTTCAATTGAAAATTACATCAGTAAATTGATTTATTTAAACAAAAATGACCAAAAGTGAAGTGAAAATTATCATCGGCAACATAATACATTGCCCTCAGAAATTGAAAATTGAATTGTTGGAGAATGGATTTGTTGTTGTGCAAGGCAAACAGGTATTTAATTTATACAAATTATGACCAATTAAATTACATTTTTGTTGTAATAGATTCAATAGCTTTTGGGAAAAATCCTCTAGGAATAGAATGAACTATAATGTAGATGTTTTTATTAAATCATTAGATTGATTGATATATTCCAGATTACTGCAATTGGCGACTCTGCAACCTTCCAACACCAATTGACCCTTTTACAAGCTCAAGGCAATCAAATCGAAACAATCCACCTGAAACAATCACAAATTCTAATTCCAGGATTTGTGGATACTCACATCCACGCGCCGCAGTATCCTAATGCTGGCTTGGGCTACGACAAAACTCTTCTGGACTGGCTGAATTGTTACACATTCAACTTGGAAAGAAGGTATAGGGACTTGAATCTGGCAGAAAATGTTTTCGATGCAGTTGTCGTAAGGAATTGTGTGTATTGATAAATAACGTGTTAATTGTTAGTTGCCTTATAGAAAAAGACAATCAATCATGGTACAACTACAGCGTGTTATTTTGCTTGCTTGTTCACTGAAGCCAGCATAGTTTTAGTTGATTCGGTCATAAAGTATGGCCAGAGGGCTTTAGTTGGTAAAGTCAACATGACGAAATCTTCATGCCGTGATTATGTGGAGACTGAAGAGGAATCACTTGAGAATACTATTAAATTTATTGATAATGTTGTTTCAAGAAATGTAAAGTCTAAAATTTAAATTGAATTACGATTTATTTAGAATTTTTTTAGAATCCTTTGGTTCAACCAATAATCACTCCAAGATTCGCCCTTAGCGCAGATATTGAGCACATGACTGAATTAGGATACATAGCAAAAAATAATAATTTAAGTATACAGGTATTTTTATTTTCAATTAGTTATTACCAGAAAATACTTACAAATTTTTATTTTTTAGACCCATATTTCAGAAAACCTTGACGAAGTACGTTTGGTTAAAGAAGAATTTGGCTTGTCTTATGCCAATGTGTATGACAAATCAAATCTTTTAACAGACAAAGTAAGTTTTCTTTATTTCTTATTATAGGTACTTTAAAATCGAGAAATCTATCTTCATAGAAACTTTTTTTTAGACAGTATTAGCTCATGGAATTTACTTGAGCGATGAAGAACTAAGACTGATAGCTGCAAAAGGTTCCTCGATATCCCATTGTCCAGAGTCTAATACTTGCCTGAAATCGGGCCTGTGCGATGTGAAAAGGCTGCTAGAGTTTGGTGTAAAAGTTGGATTGGGTACGGACGTTTCCGGAGGACCGTCGCCTTCAATTTGCAAAGCCATGCGATCGGCTTTGGATACTTCAGTATGCCTGTCGTTTTCTAAAGAAAACTACGAACCGCTTATTTATACGGATGTGTTTTATTTGGCTACTCTAGGAGGCGCCGAAGGTGAGAAAATAAGAATAATGTTTAATGGAAAATTGAAAATCGTTTTCAGCACTCAATTTGGATGATAAAGTTGGTAACTTTACGGTTGGAAAAGAATTCGATGCTCTTATAGTTGACATGAATGTGGAAAATCCGCAAATTGATTGTTTTCTTGAATGTACTCCAATGGAAATTTTACAAAAATTTGTTTATTGTGGGGACGATAGAAATGTTGTTAGTGTTTTTGTTGCTGGGAAAAATGTGAAATGAATTAAAGTAGGTACCTAATTGAGTAGGTAATGAATTTGTTCACGCAAATTGGGGCAAATTCGATAAGGATTGGATCTTAATCAAAAATAATAATTGATATATTTTTTTGGTGATATTACATAATATTAAATTAAGATATTCCTTAGGGTTTCAACGTCATTGTTAGGTTTACATAGTAGATAGGTACTTAGAAATACTACTTAAGTTTAAGTCATTGACCTTTGATAGCACTTATTTAGTTTGTAGAACTTTTATCAAAAACTATATAAAATCATACGAGTCATCTATCTTATTTAATCATACAATAAAATAATTTCTAGAAAAAAATCGCTGTCTGCTTTATCTAGAATCAAATTTCCAATAACGTCACGAGGTTCCAAATGTTCAGGATCATTTCCTTCTGGATAATACCGTTGAACTCACTAGATCAGTTTAGAATACAAACTTTCTATTGTCGTCCAATGTGAGGAAAGTAGCTTCATAGTTTATTTATGTATTGAGCAATATTCCTTCCCAAGTGGGATTTAAGATCCTAACCAGCAATTTCAATACTACTAATGTAGCAGGTCTTATTTGATGGCGTTTATTTCCTTGTAATCGATTTCAACCACGATGGACCGATTTATCACATTGTATGATTTTTTAATAGAGTTGGACTTATCCTCTTGACATAATATCAGCTGGGTTGTTGTCGGTTCGCACGTGGTGCCAATGTTAATGTGAAATAAGATTTTTGCTAATCGGTTGGCTACAAAATTATTCCAACTGGACCGGTCCCCTTTTATCCATGATAGTGCTATTGTAGAGTCTGTCCAGGCATATACGAGGGTATCTTGTAGTGATAAAGGTTGTAGCACCCTTTTTTAGTAGATGTGAAAGAAGCACGGCAGAATATAACTCTAGTCTTGGCAACGTAACTTTCATTTTTGCTGGTGCTACGTTGGATTTAGCTGTTAGCAGAACTATTTTTGTTTCATCCAGGGAATTCTTGACTTTCATGTAGACTACGGCTCCATATGCCTTTTCGGAGGCATCACAAGGGCCATGTAGTTCCACGTGACTGTTTTTTACTTGGTAGGTCCATCTGGATATAGTAATTTTCTCGACACTCTTTGGTTCTCTTCACGATCATCCCATTTTAGCTCTTGCAGCCATAATTCATGGATACCCACATAACACTATAACAGTGAAAGAACATTCATATTCTCAGAATATTCCCTCAAAGTGCTTTTTGGAATGTTCTTTTAGGAATGTTTAATGAATATTCTAAGATTGTTTCGATTGAAATATTCATTTTTGGACGTTCTATTTATGTACTAGGAATGTTGCTTCTATGCACTTACCTGAAAGATTGTGCTAAGAACCTACTTTATATAACATTATCTGAATATTGTCATACGAACATTATTATAATGTACCCTAAAAAATGTTCTTTCGGCTAATATCTCTATCAGGTATCAAGAATATACCTACCAAGTTGTGCTGAGAAGTTTATGTAGGTAGGTACCCATGATAAGAATATTTCCATATTGTTCACTTAATTATCTAAAGTATATACTCAAAAATCTTAATTGAACAATTGAACAATAATGCTCTATCTAGAACCTACTAAAAATGTTATAGGTATATTCTTTTTATTTTGCCTTTGTAGGACTTCCAAGAGAGGGAGCCACGCGCTATTAATCATTTACATCTTGCCTCGCGTTTGAATCACCTTGGAACCTGTTTTCCTCAGTTGGCGTGCTTACCGCGATGAGAGCATAATAAGCTTGAAACTGGAGCTTTGGTTAAACACTTGTTTTCCAGAGAAATTTTCCAACAACTCTTTCACTGCCTTTAATATAAAAGGACTGAAAGCAGCATTATTTAGTTGGATGCGAAAATTACCATTCCAAGTATGTCCCTAGAATCAAACAAGAATGTTATGTCTAGGATGCATATTGAGAATGATATATGTAGATATATTCTAAGAATATTTCAAGCATATTGGTATAATATTGTTTTGAGAACATAACTATAATGTCATAGAAACATTCTTTGAATGTGAGAATAAATAAACATTTCAAGCATATTTTTAGAATCAAACAGGAATATTCTTTCCAGGATGTACTGAGAATCTCATAAGTATATTCTAGGAATATCCTAATGGATTTCCCAGGAAGTTCTTGGGTATTGCAAACAGTATTTCTACAATCTTTTCTCAGAACACTCTCAGGACATTCGCAATGGTTTTGGCGAACATTCTAGGCACATTCCTCCTAAAAAAAGAACATTCTCAGTACATTCTAAGGATGCAATTTTGTTATGTGGGTAAGGAGCTTCGCCCTGATGATTATTGGAGCTAACCATCCTAGTGGGTCGTATAATTTAGCAACCTCTAAAGTAATGTTCAATATTTCAGTTTCGAATCTAAATGTGTCATTATACGAAGCCCATCAGTGGATACTTAGAGACGTTCCTATGTCATATTTAGTTATTTCCACAGCTGATTGATCTTTAAGTTCATTTGGAAGTTTCTGTAGTAACTCCCGCTTATTGCTGGACCATTTCCGCAACGTGAACCCTCCTCGTTGAAACATTTTGATGAGTTCGTCTTGTGGTGATAGAGCTTCTTCTATAGTGTCAGCATCTGAGAGCAAGTCGTCGACATAAAAATCTTTCATTGCTGCTTTGAATGCATTCGGAAAGTTGCATCTCTCGTCGTGCGCAAGCTTTTGTAATGTTTTAATAGCTAAGTATTACATTATTACGGACCAGGAAATATCCATACAAAAAAAAACGCCCTACTTCTACTATTCTTAATAACTTATAAGTTTATACATTACTCTTTCAAACAACACTTCTGATTCACATTCCTATTAAAACTACCCTTCACCTATATCTATAAATTCTTAAAATTAAGTCCTTTACTAAATGCTTATGCAAAATAATTATTCAAGTCATAATCCGACTCACTGAATTAAGTATTTATTACTAATTATATTTTTATAAGAAACCTTACAATAATTTCTAAACGATTAAAACCCTAAATCAAAACTCATTTCATGAACAATAAGTTTCATTTCAAAACTTTCCATTTACATTTAATGGTTTATTCTTTTACTAAGGATCAATTTAATCAGAACAATTACTATTTTCGGATTCCTAGCCAACAAACACAATTGTTTAAATTCTTATCTATTAGTTAGTTACTATAGCCCTTAAACTTCAATTGGACAATCCAATTCAAAATTCTTTAATAATTCCTACTCAAAATCGATACTTGTTAAATGCATTATAAATTCCCCCTTTAAACTCTTTGCAAAATTAATGATAATGTCATTTCTACTCGAAGGCAATTAAAGTTATGCAATAATGTTCCATAGTCAAAACACTCGAGTTATTGATATTTACGCAATAAAGTTCCAGAGTTAAGTCACTTCATACTCATTCATCATTTTTAGTTAAAAATAAAACTTGTCACTATAGAGTACTTACATTTTGTCCATAAAACACTAAACTAATCTTATTTTTTTTTTTTTTTTTTTTTTTTATTTATTTATTCCAGTAAATTTTACAATGTTTTACATTTCAAAACCTATAGAGGTAATCAAAGTTACCTATACATAGGACTGGATACACTTAACCTAACTTAGGAACTATAGACACATATAATGTGCCAAAATAATGCATACAAAAATGCTATTCATACAGGGGAGTATTATTTAATAAAAATCAATAAAATAATCAGCTAGTAGTTACTAGTTACTGGTTGTTAATAAGTGACTTACTACAATAACAATACACTTGCAACATTATACCTTACCCACTTTTTTATTTTTTTTTGACTGTTTCATTATTGTACTTCAAAGTTTTGTATTTATTGGGAAGTTTATTGAAAGTCTTGATTGCAGTTAAGTAGCTACTTTTAGTGAATAAAGTTCGATTTATTTTTGGTAAGTTGATAGATTTGTTTCTTGTTATGCTTTCAGATTGCATATAGTTCCTTTTTAGATCCTCGTAATGAAATGAAAGCGACTCAAAAATAAAGGACTGTTCTAATTTCAGTGGAACAGGGAGATTCATATCACCCTTAAGGACTATTTTCAGTAATCTCTTTTGAAGAGATTCCAAGGTACATTTGACGTTGTTATATGCGCCTCCCCAGGCTATGATTCCATAGTTACATATACTATGAAAGAAAGCATAATAGACACTCAGCAGCGATCTTGGATGCATTAGCTTAGCTAACTTTGTGAATATAAATAATAAATATTTAGTCCTCCTGACAACATATTCAATGTGAATATCCCATCTTACTCTATAATCAATATAATCAATATAAATCAAAATAATTTAATTCTTTTGATTACTTAGAGCTCGTACATAATATTGAATGACTTCAAATGTTCTTTCTTTCACAATTTTCTGTACTTTTATAAAGCTTAACGCGTTTTCCCCGAGCAAAAATAAAAGAAACTTTTCGCGAATTTTATACGGACGGACTCATTAGGTAGGTACTGTAGATTTAACTCAAACTGGACCGAACTAACAACTCAACTCAACTGATAACTGCCCTCCACTTCTAAAACCGCTGTATTTATCTTTTTCGATTCCCTCCAAAATATTATTAATTACCAACCAAAATCGACAATTGGCGGTCGTTTCACCATCTATAATTTAATTCTATTGGTCGACCGCTTGACCTAGATATTATTCCAAAACCTAATTTCATCATTTTTTTAGAGGATGATGCAACCTGTTCGAAAATTTTGTCTTTTCTTCTTTAAAACCGAATAATTATGTCGCAATATTTCCTGGTTTATCGGGGTCAACAGATTTCGTATGAGAATGTCACATAGGTATAACACCAAAAAAGACCGATACACGTGCGCAATAAATCACTGATTTAATTACTTTGGCCTCGCTTTTAATATTCTTATGGATTTGATTTAGATGATGACTAAATAATGAGAAATTGAACGTTTTAAAGATATTTTAATTAATCTGGGTCAATTTTTATTGGTTTCATTTTCAATTTATTGATACTGATGTTCAGTTTTTTTTTTTTGATTATTTGATTACATTTAATTTCTACAGTAAAGCCGTTGTAGATTACGGTCTATTTTCCCGGGTCATAACAATGGTATTGTTGAGGCTCAATCTAGTCAATCTTGATGAAGTTTTGGATTTCTGTGTATGTTTCATCTGTATTTCTTGTAGTGGTGCTTCGTAATGTTGTTCGCAATATTGATCATCTTCTGATAACGGATGTGTTTGTGAAACCTCTTCAACCTCCCAAAATTTAGTTAATTGTCCATCTTCTTCAATACATGTTATCAT